GAGTACAGTCTTGTTCGCTGTCGATGATGGGCGTGTCAGTGAGGCTGGGTTTGGCGCGCCGCCAGCCCGTTTCCCACCAGTTGTTGAAGACCATACTTAGTGGAAAAAGAAGGATATGAACTATTGTATGAGCCTCATAACTATAGCCTCATAACTCAGCCTCATAACTATATGAACTATACAGCCATGTCGCTTGCCGAAAGAAAAAAAAGAGGAACGAAAACGTGTTGGCTCCGCGACAAAGCTCTCTTACCTTGACACGCCCCATCATCCAAAGCGAACAAGACTGTACACCGCACTCACATGTGGCAGCAGATTCAGAACTATGGCAACTGCACTTTTCTTATTGCGTAGGACTTTTTGTTGAGATCCGAAGGCATCACTAGGAACCGCTAGGGCTCCTTAGGCACTTGGTAGGGTAGTGTTCATCCCCTGAACTCAAAACATGTCCAAGCCTTCTAAGAAAGACGACCATGTTGCTGATTTAAGCCGTTGAATAAATTATTCTTTTTGGAACCTCGAAAGGCACACTTGTGTTAGCAGAATCATACTGCTGGAGGGGTCGTACTGAAACCCTTTCGGAGGTTGCACTGAAGCTAGCCTTCTTACCATCGCTATGTTGCGCCACAATTACTGCGTGGAATGCTTCTGTCTCCCAAATTCCTTCTGTAACAAAGAGCATACTTTCAATAACTTTATTTGGTCCAGATATCTCTGTAAGTGAAATTGCCTAACATTTTTAACACCGAAACCACTACAAACGCTGAAACTGCTGGAAATTCACATTGGGTGAAGCTTCCTGTACCGATACGCAAGGCGTTCACTGATCTTCGACATTTTCTTTATGGCATTTCTTTCATCTAGGACTTTGCTGAAAAACTCGATACACTTAAACCGATGGGCGTATGTGTGACGCTAAAGTAGTTGGAACACATTGGGAGAGACTAGGCCACTCCTTATCTAAGCCCTCAAGTTGTTGTGCATGTATACGGTACTCTGAGTCGCAGCGGACGGAAGAGGCGTTACAAGCCGGGT